ATTGATAGTATAATTAATATTCTTTAAAAAAAAAAAAATGATGTCGAATAACATATATTTTGTACGACTGTTTCTTATTGTAGAATTCTCTTACGAGTCATCGACAATTGAAGTCGTACAGACCACAATATGCATAATATAATATTTTTATTCTATAGAGAAGACACTTCGTCGGTTTGAATACTACATTATTATTTATTATTATAAAATAGGACCGTAAATAGGGCTAGAGAATTAATATAGCTACACACGCTTAAATATAGATACATAATATAAAACACAATACTCAATAGTTAATAATAATATTTCCAATGTTACAGACGGGATTTCTAGTATGAAAATGTTACCTTTGGGCTTTGACAGATTTCTAGAGCAAAATAAACCTGATGGGGTTGTAACACCCAAACCCCTCCTCCTCTTTGATTTAGGTACCACTTACCTTACACAATATTAATATTTGACACACATTAGTCATTTAGGGAACACACTTTGATTTTCAAGGAACATATTATTTCTGTGTCATAGAGTACCAGTTAGAGAAGTTAAAGAAGAGCGTATGCAAGTTTTTGTATGTATTGAAATTCAGAAAATACCGTTCACTATAGTACTATACTATACCTACAATTCGTGCATGGCATTGATGAGTATTTTTTTTGTTTTTGGTATGGAGTAATAAGCATGTCGTACAAATTTGAGGGCCCTGTGCTCGCATGCTTATGCGTAAATCAATACCAGTAAGTTATCTGGAATAAAATATCAATTTTTAATGACTAATATGCTAACGAATTCAGTTGGAATAAATCTCAATAAATAACGCCGTCATAAAATGATTAAATGTATTCACTATTATTCTAATATAAGATTGCTATAATAATTTTAACTTGAGATTATTAAATTATTATTACTGTAAATTGTAACACTGAATCATTGTAAAACCAATACATTCATCCGCTTAGAGTCTAAAAGTTATTTAAGTACGTATTACATAAAAATTAAACATTTTATTCATAAACAAGATAGGAACATTTATATTTTGTACAGCTGCAAAACCAACTAGTAGTTAGTACATGACGTATTTCTCTATTATTCGAAACAATAAATCGACGGCCACTTGATCGATATACTTTTATAATAATATGCAGGTATGAGAAAATAATAAAACAATAGTTCCCAAGTTAGAGATACACAAAAGATTAAAACATTTTAAAACACTGTAAACGCCGAACAACCTATTAGATAAATTCCTAAACTTTTTACACACCTATCACTGATCGCAAATCACAATAATAATACCTGAATAAACAATTTAATATCATATACATTATTCTAAAATAATAATAATAATAAATATTATATAGAAATTGTGTAATAATAGTATGATATACACAATATGACTATTGACTACTATTGGGTCCAACAGGTATTAAATATTCAAGACTTGTGGAAAGGATCACTATTCGCATTTGAACTATTTAACAAAGATTCTTGCCGATGATATTGATGCCCTACTTAACGGCTAATACAATATAATATAATAGCTTCCCAAAATGAATTTAAGAGTCCCACTTCTCCAGAAAATTGTCCGTATTATATTAATTTAATTGCTGTATTTTTTAAGTAATTAGCTGAATATTTTCTATTTAATTGTGCACCTATTCTTGTTTTGTAGGGCTTCAGCTCGGATAAGCAAATACAATAAATATACGAATATCACAATACCATACTTTTTTAAGGAGTGCTGTGTAGGCAATGTTTTAAGAGAATGCATGCGTGTCGTGTGAATCACAAATGAGTAAATTCAATTGATCATTAATGTGTGTGATTAATTGACTATAGTGGAAGTGCACACACATGACAACAACATGCCATCGTGTATAACACGGACAACATATTTATTGTATCGAGTATAGATTAACCTAGCTGTACAATAATATTTCTAAAACTGAATTTAAATCCACCTTGAAGTTATGACGAATACAAGACGTGTATTTTTTATATCTGATTACCTACTATACGACAGGTCAACGATTGGCATAAGATAGATATATTTCAGCAGAAAATCTGGATCGAATCCATTACTTACTAAAGAGAACTGAATGATTTAGATTTTAGACGGTTTAGTACTTATTACTATCATTGATTACAATTTAGAAACACTATTGAACATAATTTTATTAAATCAAAGTACTTAAACATATGTAAAAAAAAAAATAATAACTATACAGCATGAACTAAAAAGCACTAATTATTGTTTTCATATTAGGTACATAATACATTATTATATTAATAAAACTTTTTATTACAATTTAACACTGTAAACAGAAGCTTTTTTTAAAATAAATATTGGCTTGGAGACACTATACAATTTATTCGTTAGAAATATTTATTCACAATTATGTTGTAACTATTTTTAATAGTCCAATTTATACATTATTAATAATTATGGAAGAACAGCTGAACAACTATAGTTTGCTATAGAATAAAATGTCCACTTGAGATAAATGAGAAGCCTATGGTCTATGTCATAACTTTTTCAATGATTTAAAATTTGAAGGAAAATATTTTAAACGACCGTTTTGCATAAAGATTAGTGATCAAATTTTTATGCATTTATTTTGAGTAAAAGTTTTGTATTTTAATGTTTGTTATCTTTGTGTGGTTATTTCATATACAAAAATACATTTTTTAATAAAAAAATAACATCACAATACTTGAACATACCTACTTCACTTGGATAAGTGTCAGTGAGGGTAAACAATAAATGTAAAAAAATTAATGATCAGTAGATACCTATTGAACTAATTTAAGTTATTATTGTAAGCATCCGGTCACTGATATTAAAAAACAAGCAAAACAGGAATTGTAATTAATACACATAATAAACATTATTATATAAAATAAAATCTAACACATCATTGACAAATTGTTTAGTGAACATTTTTATAACAATAAATTATAATTGAAATAGTCAACAATCTCTTAAAATTCATTAAATTGATTTAAAATAGTTAAACAAAGTAAAAAAAAAACCATCAATAACCAACAAAATACACAGCCCATTGATAATGGATCAATAGATAATAGATCAGTTATAAAATATAATACAAAAATCAACCATTAACCATGACATACTCCAGTCTCTAAACTTCCCCAGTAGAGCAATAATTTTTAACTAATTATTATTCATAACACATAAATTATTTTTATATTTCAGGGTAAAAATAAAAAAATCACCTATGATATGCTGAATTTGACCATTTGACCTTTATTAATTTATTTTATTATAGAATAAACATTTTTTCAACAAATTACATATTATATTTTAAAATGCTAGTATAGCTAGTGTACAGGTAAGTTTTTAATTTGTATTCTACTCAACAACATAAAAGATATCTTTACATCAATTTAACAATTTTGAATATACGTGTGATAATCATAATAATAGAGAATTTATCTCACCAATTTGTGACCATCATTTTACAAATATTATACTGTTTTCTAAGGTCAATATTTTGGAATTGGGTGATTAAAATTTAAAATAACACACTTAAGGTTGTAATAATAAAAAAAATCAGTATGATAATAATCATTATAATATTTTTACATATAATAATTAGCGAAAAAACCGCTTTGTAAATTATTTCAGTCTAAAATACATTATAAAAATCTAATTTATTAAAAAATATATATCTTAAATGTATATAAGTATATAATATATGTACTTAAAAAAAAAGAATCAATTAATTATAACCTATAATAATAGCCATTAATGTTATTTTTCAAAATAAAAATATAACAAACTCGTATCACAATAATAATTTCATAAGGTTAATTCGATTTAAGTATCTCCAAAGGTAAAAAAAAAAAAAAAAACAAAAAAACAAAAAAATAATTAAACTAGAGATCTATCTCAACAACAATTATTTTTATTTTACTAACCAATTTACGTCTATTGATACAATTTATAATAGTATAAATAGTAAAATAAATATAGTATTTATTGAGCAATACAATTCCAAATGGTTCATCTAAACCGTATGTTACATATACAAAATATTATTGAAAAATTTATTCAGCGAAGGAATGTTAAAACGGCTGAGGTTTTGATTCGTAAAGGCAAGAATTCAAAAATAAACTAATATTTAATCTTAATATTTTATGTCCTATTATTTGATCTTAATTAAAAAAAAAATAAAAAAAATAATGGCCATGAGCTTGAAATCAAATTAACTTTGTTTGCACTCTACTTATAATATTATACAGAGTAATATTTCAATATTTAACATCAAAAGTAGAAAAAATTTAAAAAAAAAAAAAAAAAAGAATATTTTTCTTTATATTTGTTCCGGGGGTTGCTTCAAAGTCAATAAGAACCATTGTTTTTGCAAAACGCACTGTGAATCGTAAGTTAATTAATATAATTTTGATTTACACTTAATATATGATTTTATAATATAATCTGAAAACCAGCCCGTGCCGCACTCGGACCGATTGGTAAACTAAACACCTATGTTGGTAGTATTATTATTATTATTATTATTATTATTATTTTGATTTTAAACGTTGGATTCCATTAACAAGAGTTTACAATATTAATAAAACCAAATACGATCATTTTAAAACCACAATAAAAATACTGAGTTGGCATTATCCATCGACAAAATTCTAAACCAATAACGCAAACTATTGTAGTTCAATGATGTGATATAGAATACTGGATTTGAGTTGTCTTAGTCGTTACACGGTTTAAGAGTTCACCGAAGTAAACGCGTAATATTGATGTAATAATATAATATTGGTCGTTATACTCGTGAGTGAGGTGGAAAAAAAAAAACGTTTTAACTACCCGACGCACGACAACCAACGGTCGCCGCCATCGTTGTTGTTTGTTTTTTGTTGATGTTGTTGTTGATGCAGTTGTCGTATAGTCTGTTTTCGGTGTGGGTCGACCATAAAACCCGTCACTGAAACGAACTTCACGCTGATTGAAACTGAGGAAATCACGTCATGTGATGTATGATGTCGGACACGCTCGTGGACACGCCGATCACGAACGCGAATATGGCGATGAGGATAATCAGCAGGTTGCGCAGGCAGAACAGACCGAACCGGATGTTTCCTTCGTTCTTGTAGACGTCGGAGAACGTCAGGAAGCTGACGATGGCCGGTAACGCGATGCCCACGGAAGACAAACAGAACGCGCCGATCAGCGAGATCAAGTGCTCCAAGTTCGGTATGGCGATGGCAAAGAAAACTGTATGGAAGGAGAAACAAAAAAAAAAACCCAAATTAGTTCAAGTCAAATCCAAGTAAATGGTGAGGGGGGCGGTCGCGAGGTCAGGTTCAACCATTTATCGGTATTATCTGTATGAATGGTTTAAGTCTCCCGCGTGGTACCGAGGGTAATAAAAGCCCACCGTCCTGCAAGGATTTTATACTTACAAGTAACGATCACTATGGACGTGCGAAGTGCATATTCCCAGCAGATTCTGTGCTCGTTCTTTTCCATCTTTTGTTCGATTCCCTTCCAGATGATGTCGAACGCCACGTAGTTGGACAGAGCGTAGGTAATGTATATGGAGACCGACAGAAGGAGTTTCACGACTTGAGAGAGGCTGTAAGCATAATTACGATTGATTAATAATTACACGTCGATATCTAATATTCTAATCACGTCAATATTTCGATATGATATCATAGTATTGCATATATTATAAAAACTGTTCGGAAATTCCACTTGTAAATTGTATTATAAAATTGTTCACGTTCTATGTGTAAAAACCAGTCGTTCGCGTTCACTTTTATTTTAAAAAAACATTTTAACATTTTAAAAATCGAATAAGACAATCTAGCCGTTCATTAAAATTTAAAATAATTATTATTTTATACATTTTTAGTAATAGTGTACCTTATTAGTTATTTAAGTAGCGTAGGTAGGTATAAATAATTTTAAAAAATTATATTTTTATTTTTGTTTATGTAATAATATTAAATATTTTATCGTAATAATATACTATACAATTGTCAATTAGATTATGTATTATAATAAAAGAAATTATAAAATAAAATACCTTTACTTATATATCCAATATAAGGTTGGTATACTAGTATGTAAGGGTGGTGGGGTACCAAATTTATTGAAGCCAAGTTAAAACATACAATTAGTACCTATGTATAAAATAGATTTTAAAATATTTCTTTTAGATAGATATTTTGAAATGTAAGCGATATAGTCAAAATCATCCTCTCTCTACATTCACTTAAGTCTTAATATGCATAAAATAAATATCAAATTGAGTAGCCCGCATTAAACGCATACACATTACACCATCCCGTACCATGTATTTAAAAAATATTGTTATTATTATAAAAAAAATCTTGAATATATTCTAAAATAATACATTTTTCGATGCCACTATAATATGAAGAATAAAGATAAAATACCAATATAGTATTATGATGATGATATTAAAAATACATTTTTGAAGGATAAAAAGTTTTTCATTTGAACGACCTAAGATAGTTTAAGCTCCTTAAAAATATGAATTTCGTTTACTTGCACGAAAATATGAACGACAACGCACGTTCGTTCTTCTCAAACAATATATTAATATTTTATAAATAGAATAGAGCAATATTATCGTCTATGTTGTCTATACACTTACACTTCGGTCTGGGGCATGTCGAGTGTGATGCTACCGGTGGTCTTATCGCCGTACTTCAGATAGCCGAGTAATCCGACAACTGTGTACAGGACGGAGATGGGCAACATGGATGCGTTTAGCACTCCGAACACACTGCCAAATTTCTTGGGGTTCTTCATTTCGTTTTCAAGTGGCAAGACCTGTACGAAAAAACAAACAAACGCAACGTTTAATACCAAAGATCGTATAATATAATCTCGGACGAAGTTATGTTTTTAAATATATAAGCAATAGTGAACAGTTCAATGGCAAAAAGGTAATTTAATTTGTCGAGTTGAGTGCCGCAAGTTATAGTATTTTTTATTGATATTATAAATAAATAATTACAATATAAGTAGTATAATATTGATTACGTGTAAATTTATCACGGGAATAACAGAATGGGTGGCACACTGGCACTTAACTATTAAATTAGAAATTCTCTTGGACAGGTCTATTTTAGACGTCTCCGGGGATTTTCAGTACCTAACCTTGTGTGGGAGAAAATTAAATTAATTAGCGAATGTTTTTAGGATTGGTTGACTTTAAATTAAATTAAAAGTAGTAGGTAGGATATAGTTAATTGAGTTGGAGTTGAATTTTTGAGATTGTTTTAATCTTGATTAACCAAGTATCAGAGACAATTTTACGAAGAAAAATTAACTGGAAGGCCTGAATTTATCTCGAGTTCTTGGCGGAGTCCCACATAGGTATCTTATTGCCAAGGGACAACAGTTGTCCGATATAATAGCTTTATAAATTGTAAGAGTTTGTAGCTAGTCTGGATAGCTTGGATGATCAGAAAAGTGGACGGATCAGGTGGAGTCTATATCATCGAGTCGTTAATTTAATAATGATAATCAACCATTTTGTCAAACATTTATCCTATCTGCTAATGCACACTGTAAAATATGAATATAAATATAGCGGCCAGGCAATTACGTGTGTAAATAATTAATGAAGCATAATATGTATACTAAACAATTAAATCAAGAAATAGTATTGGTTCGATTTCGTTTAAAACTGCGGTGTATACAGCGTGATAAAAAAAAACAACCAGTCACCTATAATCATAGTTGAATTAATTTTTTAACGTCCGCCTTTGCAAGTCGCTCAAGTATTAGCGTATAATATTCTAAGTATATCATTGCGGTTTGTACACTCACCATGCCGATGGCTTCCATGGCGAAGAGCACTGTGCCGAAGAACAACGGTATGCTTTTGACGGTGCCCACTGGTTCGCGGTCGACGAAGGACGGAGCTTCCCGGAAAATGTAGTAGAAAATCAACGTAAAACTCACGATGGTCAGGCAAGTGGCGATCGAGGAGAACGGCGCCAGGAGTTTTAGATTCCTTATCCACGAGATCAATATCAGCGGGATCAATATGTACACCATGTACATCCGCACGTCCGTGTTGCCACCGAGGTAGGCGTCGCCGACCTGTAACATTTCCGGAAAAACGCTGTTATGAAAACGTCCGTGCGAAGAGACCGCACTCGCAGCAGCGTGCAAAACTTACCACTTTGAGATTGCTAGCAATGAACACCACGTATATACAACTGGAACCGATTTGGTACAGGACTAGGAACATGTTTGTCATCATCCTGCAACGAGACAAAGAGTGTTAGAACGGGGGGTTGTTGTTATTATATTGTAATACATAGGGCATGTGGTTTAGCGGACGACTACTATCGCAAGTTATTGTTATATTGTATGATGGTAGGACAATAATATTATAAATTTCAGTGGTCCTTACCTGGCGTAAGGAGCCAATACCCTGGTGAACTTGGGGCCCTCTTCGAAAGCCGCCGCCACGGTACCCGGGTACGTGAGGCTGGGCACTTTTCTCTTGATGCACAGCTCGTGCGAAGCGGTTATCTAAACGACAGAAGAAAAATAACGGTTACAATATTATCAATAATAATATACGCTGTGTCGCGTACCAAACGAATCGTTTCTACGTGCAGTATTTGTATTATAATAATAATTATTGTTCACACTCACCAGCAGATGTATCGTGAATGTACACAGTATTCCGATGATGATCGTACCCAACGTGCCCACTACGTAACCGGCGTTTTTGAACGCGCTGGGCATGGCCAGAATTCCCGTGCCCAGGCTGGCCTTTAGGAGATGTATCAGGGTGTCGAAATATCTATATTGTACAATAGTAAAAAAACGTGATTAATATAATATCAATATTAGTTACATATACAGTCTACTGCTTATAATATGATAATAATATAATACGTATCATTTTAGTACTCACGTTGTGGGGTGTTTTACGTCGCGGTGTTGGTAGGGGTTGTAAAAGTTCTGTTTCTCGTTCAGCTGCAGAGCGGCGGTGTCACCCTTCATGTTGATGCCTACACACTTGTTGTTGAGGCTGTCCATGTTAATGCTGTAACAACAGACGAAATACAATATTATTCGTGGGTCATTTTTACACGGACAATCACTGTTTGTACAGTCCAAAAATAAAAAAATGGATGTAGTTTACATCCATATATATTGTGTATAAACAGTATATAATATGATATACACTCGTCTCGGAGCTTATAATACATAAACAGAAAGAGAAACATCGATTCCGTATATAGTGCAGTGCAGTGCACTTGATAAATCGTCACGACTCGAACGTGTACTTATAAATGAACGTCCATTGAGTATATATTATTATACAAGGGCGGCACAAATCTAAATCTTTTAGAGTTCAATTAAATTTAATCCCCGAGTCCTCTTATAATATTATATAATACTTGTATAATACGCATATATAGAAATCTGCAAACACTCGAATCTCGTATACGAACTATAACTATATCGTTACACTCGTTATACACAGATACTCGTTCGTTTCGTGCGAAGCACGTGATGTTTAAGCCCGAAGGAGATAAATAAACTTTATACCACAAAATATCGTTGAATACACAGCGTTTATTATTTATTATAATATAACACTATACTCAACTATAGTCTATAATAGTATATCAAGATTTATGGAGTTTCGATGAATGAAAGTGATTTGACGCTCAACTCGCAGCATTTATGATACATCAACATGCATCGCAAGCTCATCTTTCAATTTTTCACGAGGAGTACTCTGTCGATCAACGAATCATATTAGGTATGCAACATGTGTTGTACTACAACTATACTAATAGTATAATCAAGTTAATATAAGCAACGATAATGATTACGCTATTGATTGGTGGCAGAATAATATATGATATATTATAATAATATGTAAGATGAAATTAAAAATTAAAACCATCGTTTTAATTACAAAAAAAACAAAACGCATTACTTACGATTTAACGATCAGAAATCAGAATACAAAAAACAGAATGATAAGAAACAATAGGAAAACATTAATCGATAAATCTATCAATCATCAATGGCTACATAAAATAGTATTAGATAATGTAATCATTATGCATATCCGACTAAATAGGTACCTATTAATTTCGTTAATATAATCAAATATTAATAGGTCAAGACCGTATATTCTCTATATTCTTCGAGAAACAACGAGCTGCTGGTGTTTAAAATTACCTCCGTAAATCAATAAGTAGTTTCCAAGGATTTAAATTATTTTTGCTCGTCCGTACGTATAATGTATTATTATCGACTGCACATTATGTGCAATTATAAATGCAGTTTATTTTCGATTGCAATAATTACATGGTAAATTAACTCAAAGAAGACTATTTAAATTTATTTTTATATAATAAATACTAGTATGGAGCCTGACATTGACTAGGTGTCCACTCGCCCAGTACATTTACATTGATGAATACAATAATTTATATAACATACAGGTTTATAATATGTCTATAGGTTCATACCGCTGTAACCGTTATACTGCAGTGTAACAAATTATAATATGTACATATATTTACGGTTGTAATTGGCTAAAGTGTAAAACGATGTTTCTGTTTGTTATAAAACCGCTACGATATTATAGCACAGCCATCATATTGACATATTGTCAACAAAAGTTATTGTAAATATATTATAGGTACACGAATTAACAAAGTCGTACACTGTTGCACCATTTTCGAAAACAGTTTTTACTAAAAATGTTGCCTGAATTACCAAAATGAAAGGCGAAAAACTAGAGCTGCTATAATTGTGCGATAGGTATATCATAAATCATAATGAATTAATCAGGGCATGTCTGATATTAATTTTAAACAAACTTCACGGATATTTAGGTATCTGCGATATACCAATTTATATATATGCACGTTAACTGTGTAAGTAAAAACAAAGTCTGTTCGACAGTGTTCGTCATCCGGCGGAACGTTTTTCGAGAAAAAATTTTATAATCGTGCGGACTTTGGAACCGGTAGTTTATAATGTAGTTTCCCTCACCAAAGTGGGCATAACGTAGGTACATTATAATATTATATTCTAGAGTGATATATATTATCGGCTCGCCCAATAACGTATGATAATTGATATTACGTCCGGCCATAGACCTACAAACTAGCCTAAATGCGTCCGGCCTACGTTTCGAAGTCGACTCAACAGCAGATAAACGATTCTCTTAACCGGATATAATGACAATGGTAAAATACAAGAACCGTGTTGAATCCACAAGTTATAGATTTTCCAGAAATCCGAGAAAGCGGGATATCAAAACACAATATCCACAATGAAATATAGTCGTCGTAGTACACCCTATAATATAGAACCCCTATTTATATACATATAAACAGTAGAGTCTCGGATAACTTGGATTTTCGTCTTGCCCTTCGAAGTATACAAAAAATACACTCGGAAAATACACATGTCAATCTTATTTTTATTACAGTTGAGATTCAAGTTATCGAGACATAACTGTATGCGTATATATAGGTGTACTGTTGCTATCGTAGCCCGTAGGTATATCGCGAAACACAAAAAATCGGTAAAAAGAGTGCATGTACTGTTGTCGTTTCGCTACCCATATATAAATTGAAATAGGAGCACAAGTACAATAATATGATATACTCACCAAGCGTTTCCGTTGACGGGTTTTCCGTTGATGTCCAACTCAGATCTCAGCATCCCTTGGTTGTCGTAACAGTCGGCCGCTGCCATTTGCTGTAACGATAAAAACAGACGGTCGTCGGTTATTACACGTGATTCATATACGAAAAACCGTTTGACGGCATGTAAAAAAAAAAAAAGAAAACTATTTGTCATTGCGCTCGTTTTATCCTCCCCCCCCCCTCTACAGTGATAGAATTATAATGTTAATAGGCACGTCGGCGTTATGATGATAATAATAGCGATACTGTACAGCGATTGTGATAACCTCCGTGCACCGGCGGCCGTTTATCGGACTGGGACTTGACGATGGCTGCAGCTGCGGCTGCAGTCAACGGCTAGTAAGTATAGGTACGTATAATTTGATGTAAGTACACCATTTTAATATATTATAAATTATAATGTCAGCAATTTCGCCGTCTGGCCTAAAACCAACGCGATGCGCGAATTATTCGTACGGACGATAGCAGGTCATATACCTACGATTTGTGATGTGATCTCTGAGCGTCTTATTATATTTGGGCCACGCGGTACCTTTTACGACGACGACGTGCACCACAGCACCAGTTGTAACTCGAGCCGCTCATAAACGTCACATTATTATTATATGCGTGACAGTGCGCGCACGCGCGAGAGAAGTATTTTTATTTCGTTTTACGACAAAATAGCTGCGTGGTTCGTCTTCGTGACGTATTTGATTTTCTGCGATTTTTATGGGTGCCAAAAATCATATCTGCCACAGATATTATAATCCGACACTAATATAATTGAGCAACATTATATTATATATTATATACCTACTGCGGTCGGTCGGCCAACGAAACGTCCAGAAGTCACGGCATATAATAACGTGAATACTGTGACGGACGCAATAAGAAACCCCGCAAGAAACTGAATTCGATACAGGTTCTATATACTAATACTCATTATATTTTGACGACGAGTATCCTGCCGCCGATCTCGCGTATGAAATATGCGACAGTTATAACGTCTTATAATAACTTATATTATATATTATAAGGTCGAGAACGGTGGGCGCGAGCGAAAATCGAAGGGAAAAAAATGCGTTTAAACACCCCGAGCGGATTATACGTACATAGGTAACTTTTGTACGATGTTTTCGACTCTAAATCAACCTTATCCTAGGTTCGTCAGAATCAAATTTTTTTTTTTTAACAATAATAATATGTAATAATAACGCACAGAGTTATTTTTTCCGTACGCCAAACACGCTGAAAGTGCCAAAAGTTTTAGTCGGAAAAAAAAGGTAAATTATCGTGGTTAATGGCACGCGAATGTATTATTATTATTATTGCGGACTACCGTCTACGGGTGCGGGACCGTATGTTAAAATATTATTATATAGTAACCGCTACCCGAGCGTCGATTGTACTTAATCGTAAATTATAATTTATAATGCGTGTACATACAGGTGTCGGTCGCGGATCGAGCGTGGGTATAACAAACGACGCTCATAAATAATGTCTCCGAATTATGATAATATTGCGGTTATGGAAAAACGTACGAATTTTTTTTTCTCTCTGTTCAAGGAACAATGGGTACTCGGCCGTTTCCGTTCAGTTCGCCATCGGTGTGTATTTTAATTTCGTCCGAGTGTCACGAGAGCCAAAACGGTAATTATATATAGGTACCAATACGTACCTGCTGTAACGCGTAACAGTCGCAATATAATTTGAGTAATCTAAAAGTGCACGGACTTAAATACTCTAAAAATGTACTAATAATGAATGCATTGATGCACTTTTTATTAGGTATTTAAACTGTTTTTTTCTTAATACTAACATTGGAATATTGCAAGTTTTTACGTGGGAATAATTATTGTAAGTTAATTTTAAATTCAAGTCATAGTAATAATATTATTTACGCTGCGGTTCGATTTGTCATATAGGTACTGCATAGGTTGTAATTTGAAAGCGTTAAGCGACAGTAACGAGTTCTTTGACCATCTCGAGATCTCGACAAAACGTTCTTGTATATAACATGCAAGTATATATAGGTAGTCAAATAATTATACCCGACGGGTTTAAACGACGCCAATAACGTTTAAAATAATAATGTGTTATCTTACAGTTCGTCGAAATTCTTCAAACGATATTAAAACGGAACTCGTAGTGTATAACTACGACGCATCCCTTAAATTCGAGATGTCAGCAGGATAGGAAAAATATATTAACATCCCTTTACTATGGGTGGTCGGACAGCGTCGGTTTTCACGCGTATATATAGGGGTTGTCTGGTGGATCGTTGGGATGAGGGGGTGTTTGGAAGAGTGTGTGTGGTTGAGGGGTGGGAATTGTTTGTGTTTATGTAATATTATTTTAACCCGTTGACCTCTTTAGTACGACTTCCTCCACGAGCAGTAGTTGTTAGCATTTACTGTTTAATGACTTATCAGGATTCAATATTTTCAGAAATCTTTGCACCGTATAGGCGAATTAAATACAAACAAAAGATGCGCATTCCCGCAGTACCGTTCGCATTAAACTGTTTTATATTTTGCGATCAAGGCCGCTTGCATTTTTATTATTATCATTTTTTTTTTTTTTTTTGGCACGTACCGCGTCGACTGCGGATTAAAGGACGCGGCTGCAGAAGTATACAATAATATTATAAACCTTCAATACACACGCGACCTCCAAATACCTGCTAATAAATAATCGCCAACAAACAGCTATAAAAACTTTTAGAAAAAATACCGTAAAATCGTACAAACGTGATTAGCAATGTCGGATAGGTCCGGACTCGATCTATGTCTCAACCTAGTCTCCGCGTCTAGTGTTTTACCGCCCACCCGTATATATTTCCTAATGTTTGAACCTACGCGAACACTCAGAGACGATTAAAGGCGCGTCTAAATAATATTATATTTGCTGCAGTTATATAGTGGCGCCAGACTTGAGAAAAAAAATATTACTCCTCGGGCTGATCGATGGGGATTATTTTATTTTGGTCTGCAGCTATCCACAATAATTACGAATAACCGAATGGACCTCGACGTGGGTGCGGTACGCCGCCATGATAATATTATATTATTCGCATAATACTAGCATATATAGTTGCAAGCATAGGCGCACATAGGGTGTTAATTTAGGGGGTGCTGGGATAATTTATGGTTCACAGATCCGTGGGGGGCAAAGCCCCCCACACCCCCCTAATCCTAATATTTCTGCATTGCATTAGATTTAATTTGTACTGCAGTGTATACAATAATTTCTAAAGTGCAATGTATCAAATAGTCTGTATGATTGTAAAGAAGACGCTAGGTACACCCACATGTGTTGTCTTCGTATTACAGACGTATAGGTACAACATAGGCAAAACTGTTTTGCACGGGTATAAAAAACATTCAGGCTCTACTCTAAGCTAAAAAACTAAATGTTCACACTAGAAAAATGAGAAAATTTACTCTGTAACTTTGTTTTTATATTTCCGATATCAAAACCAAAATAAAAGTTATTTTAGTTTGATAAACAAAAAAAGGTGCTCTGCTGTACAGTAGGGTACAAGTGGGTCACTGTATAATCGATGGTATTAAATTTGAATTCAATGATATACTAACATCATTGTATAAGAAAAACGATTCTGAGCGAAGACGGTTAAGTCAGCCTATGATATTACTAAGTATATTTGATGATACTAAGGTGAATAAAGCAATTTATATATAACCTATTTAAGTAGAATCTTGTTTTAAATTTTCAATCATTAGCTATAAAAGTTGAACATTTTATAAATTTTTAACTATACAATTATTATTAAATTTTAAATGTGATAAATTTTGTCAAAATTTGAATTTTAAATAATTATAAAAAAAAATTGTGCCTATGTATTTTTAATATTTTTCAAGTGTTAATGTGACAATATATCAGGAGCTTCGCATTCAATTTTCAAGCTTTTTTACCATACAAATAAAATTTTATTGATTTGAATAGAAAAAAAAAATTTAAAAAATTGAAAACTGAAAATGTCCGTAAATAGCTCAAATCGAAATAAAATATTTTCAAAACTATTTGGTGTATAGGAAATGCTAATATAAAAATTTAGTAAAATTTTCAAGTATCTAAAGTCATTCGTTTTTTTAATTACAACAAAATTAGAAAATCGTTACATGAGAAATCGAGTGAATATCAAATGTTGTAAAAATATGAATTTCAAACGTTGATAAAAATTTAATTTGAGATTCTTGTAGACATTTTTTTTTTTGATAAAGGTAGACAAACTTATGAGGAATCTTGCATTACATTTTCATATCTTAGATTTAAAAAGAAAAATTTTTATGAATTTCTAACTCGAAAAAATTTGCAAATTTTGGTCATTTTGTAGTATTTTGTTAATATTTGGAATTTAAATGTTTATAACAAAAAACTGTGAGTAAGGATTTTTAATATTTTTCATCTGTCTTTGAAACAATACATTAGGAGCCTTCTATTAAATGTTTAAGCTTTTATACCCAACAAATAAAATTTTATTGATACTTATAGAAAAAAAAAAACTAAAAAAAAAGGGAAACTAAAAATGTCCGTAAAAAGCTCAAAATAACTCAAAATATTTAGAAAATTTTATCATGTATAGAAAATGGAAATATAAATAACCAGTGAAAATTTCATATATCTACGGTCATTTGTTTTAAAGTTACACCAAAAACCAAAATCAATTTTCTCGAAAACAGATTTTGCGTAAAAATTCCCGGTTTTCCTTAATTTTTCTTTTGTTTTTCACGGCGCTTTTGAAAACTACTGTGAAATTTTTGACCCCCCCAAAGTACCAACTAGATTCACTTTCCTATCAGAAAAGATATTGTTGAAGAAAATCCAAGCACTTTTACTGTCCTAAAAGATGATGACAGACAAAAAAAAAAAAAATGAATTCGTGAATTCGTAAACAGTTGTCAATATTTGTAATGAAAAGAAAAATTCCGAACCAATAAACCACGATAGTTTATAAATGATTGGTGAAATACTGAAATAAACTGAGGGTGCTAGTTTGAAGCTTGGGGGTGCTAAGCACCCCCAAGCACCCCCCTATGTGCGCCTATGGTTGCAAGTGGAAACTCACTTGTTTGGAGACGTGTTGTTCTGGTTTTGCAGTGGAAGGGTAATTATTGAAGTTCCGCGTCATGCTGTCTGTCATTTCTACTGTCTTGGGCTGCGCGTATGCACACTGAAACGAAAAACAAACAATTGCCGTTCATCAGTTGAATGTTATATTATTATTATTATTATAAAAAGTTTGATAAAAAAAAAAAACCGATTTCCGTACATTTCTGCAAGCGTCAGTGAGTCTTGGGAGGCAGGGGGGGAAGAGACAAGTCAAATTTACGGACGACGGCGAAGGTTTTTAAATTTTAATTTTTGGGGGAACGGGTCGACAGCGTCACCGCGGGTGCAGTCTTTTTTTTTTTGGCGAGCTGCAGCAGTGACCACTGTGATGAATGTCCGCGTGCGGCGGGGCGTTCTGTACGACTGCCGAACGGAGTAGAGGCGAAAACGGCGCGCGTCCGACAATCGTAATGCGATAAAGGCCGACGAATCTTATCGCACTGAAACACGATACGGGTACATGTGCGTGTTGCCCCGGTGCCCCACCTAAGGCATATTCACATAATATACCTAGGTACCAGCTGCGAATTAAAATATTGTTGTCGAGTACATATTTTACCAACAAGGTATATAATAAGGATAAGCCTAAGTACGTGTAACTCTCTTCGGCGTCATAGGCTTTTCGAACGGTCACTGGTCAGCGTTATCTGGAGGCGCGGTACCTCTGCAATAATAATTAAGACTACCGGTTGATTTCGAATTCACTATTCGCATCATCGCCGGCAACACGACTGAGTCCAATGTATCATTTTGGCGTATTTTACACGCTATACGGTGGTATTATACAGGTACTTTGAAAAAGAACAACTCCGAAGGGAACTCGATTTGCGTGTTGTAAAAAACAATAATATGTTAGATAAAATATAATATATTATAATTAATGATTGTTGGTCCATTCGTACGCGATAAATACCAATAATTATTAAGCAATCGAATAACACCGTAAACCGAGGATATTCACTCATATAACTAATATAATATTTTGCATGTTTTCGACTTCGTGTAAGTGAAGAAAAATTATACTATAGTAAAATAACATTATAACAGTATAAATTAAACTGTGTGCTTAACAAAATCCGAGTATCGACAAAAAATATAAAATAATTAGAAATCAAAATAACAACAACACTAACGTAAAATTCTAGTTTGCAATTGTTTTCCTCAAATCTATCGACATTGCATCGACGACGGTAATTAACTAAGACAATGATGATAATAATAGCTTTAAATAAAAAAAAAAAAGGCATGGCTATTTACATACTGGTCCATCACGCTCGATCGCCAATATTCGCAGAATAACCCTAACTATTTATTTAAATTTTGTTACAAAAAAATAGTGTGCCTCGCAATGAGAAAAATTCGGAGGAAGAACAGCACAAAACTAAACACTTACGCAGGTGGTCGCAGTAGTCCAAAATCGTTACAACAATACCTAACACTAATAACATATTATAAGCTTCTCGGGGTGAAAATCACTTGCACCTCTTATTTTCACAAGCAGTAAGGTAAATCGGTTAAGTATTTATAAAACTTATTTGATGGAAATCGTCGTGATATACATACGGGCATTGAACTAATAATACTATGTAGATGGAAGACGTTTTAGGGAATTACAATAATTATCAGCAGTAATTAAATAATAAATACTATTATAATATGTATTATAATTGCTAAATTGCGGGATATTCAGATGACGCTAGTAACCTAAGTTTTTAACCATTATTATAAATTGTATATTTTTGTTCTGGACGAGAAGTTGTACAGACATTTCAGTGAGGTAGCGAAACAATATGCCGTGCCGTGACCACGATTTCTTTTGTTGGCGGTCGCACTAAAATAATATATTTTACTATACACTATATTATACACAGTACTACTGCACGTATATATGACGTCACTGATGAGCTACTTGGACAATATAGTAACACACCATGGCCTAAACTATGATATTATTACTGTAAAATTGTGAACCGATTGTCTGAATAAACTTAAAAGTCCGTATCGAGGCGGGCGGCGGGTGGATTAGCTATACGCGTTCTCTGCAGCAGATGTTTTCAGGCCTGTATGAACCTTGGCCGATTCGCGCCATCGGATCCAACCGATTATGTCGTCGTCGTCAAAAAACGTTGTTTTTTATAATTTCTTAACAATAATAGACGACGGTATGATAATTGTTTCGTAACCTAACAGAAACCGCGAGCGTGCGGTTAACCCGAAGTCATGCCATTACCAATTTTACCCCGAGACCGTCGTCGGTTTTCTAGCGTCGTAACGACTGAACGATACCTACAACAGTACCATAGTCGAAAATCCATTAACATTTCCTCTGTTTTTCCGAATTGCCAACGAAAAAGGCAGTAACTGAATATTATTGTATATAGAACGTCTTTGGTTGATTTATGCTATAATCAGCTAATTGAAAAAAAAAATCTTAAAATCGAGTTACTTTCCTTTTCATTGGGGGAGTCACGTCTATATATTTTGTTTCTCGTTTTGTTTTTAAACAATGTAAATAATACCGCGTCTCGTAGCGGTCGTATCGAAACGTCAGTCTCAGCAGCCCGATGGACTGAGCTGTGGACGTAAATAATATAGTAATAATATATTGTATTGTACTAGTAGAGAGGTGTATGAGTACTTGATACGCGTTTATATATATATTTGCGGAAGACCTTGACGGTCCGCGATCGTAGATTATCCCGGACTAGGAAAAGAAAAACGTTAATAGCAGAGGGAGAACACTTCGTTGTATTGTACCTGCCCTATACGTGAAACCAGAAGATTAAAACGTAATAATATTATAATAAATCGTAGAGACGCAATTCGCGTTTCCGGCAAAAAGAAAACGTGTTCGGGACGGACGAGGCTATAATTGGGGCGGCTGCACATGGTTTCTACGAAGAATCAGTATTGCAGGGTTTTCGTATAACACGTAGTCGATAGAAATAAAAAAAAAGTGTACAAAAAGAGTACGTGGAAAACTAAACTTTAACGGAGAAATTTCCAGCGAAACGTTCGGTTTGTTCAGTCGACGAATTTCTCACCTTACCGCGCCGACGCCGCGAATTATCGAAACACCTGTACGCTTCGAAAACCATTCCGGCTGTTACGATTGTCATAAAGTTTGGATGTGAAAGAAGCGTATCGATCTGTTTGCGGTAGGTATGACATAATAAACGCGTTCGTTTACCGCAAAAATATTATAATATACCGATAACAGGGCAGAGGAATGATATATACACGATACACCCGAAACACGACGTCGCTCCAATGATTTACGACGTAAACATTTGGCGAGCAATAATTATAAATTATATTCTCGATGAAAGAATTGATCCTATTGCATACAGACAATGTGTTAAACGGATGTCTATTTTTGCAATGCAAAAAATAGATTGCCACGTCTGTTACGTAATATTCTATACCTACCTACTTATACCTACACAAACCTGCGGCTCTCCCGAGGTGTACCTGCATTGCCGTATTGTATACAATTCGCGATACGCGATAAGAAATGACTTTTGAATATTTTTAATCACTCAAATTTTTATTAATAAACCTCAAGGTTAGTGGTTCGAATATACAAATAATTATCGTGTGCGTGTCGCGTGTGTGTATATTATTTAAATTTAATTATAGCAATAACTCTCAATCACTCCGCCGCGGGGCGGTTACTAAATAATATGGGCTATTAATATTTTGCAAACATGATTATTTAATCTGGCAAATAATTATCAGACGGTCATTAAATCGCAATTTGCGAACAAACTCCGGTGCTAAATATATACATTATACATAGGTAGTTGCTTTATACGGTAAATTAAAAACAAGATCATCTGTGCCTATATAGAGTCTCGTGCGTCATATTAATATATTATAAGAATAACATATTGTGGAAAAGTTAAGGTGATGATGTACCTATAATTTTATCAGTTATCGCACATCTCCCCGGTATTATAGAAAGAAGTCTAAAAACGGTAACACGCAACCGGATGATAGGAAAACGTAATATTTTTTTTTTTTAAATAAAAACGGCGGGCGATGACACCACCTCGAACTCGTGACCTCCAAGCACGCGGAGAAGAACTTCTAAACGGGACCTCGGGGATTGCGCCAACTCATTATTTTGTGTTTTGTTTTTTTCGTAATAATAAAATTCGTACGAGTATAGGCCGTACATATGTACGTACACATGCTCCGTTTATTAGAATACATTTATTGTAGAGATCCGTCTTTATATCGACCTTCCATGGCGCTGCAAAAGCCCGGCGGGGAGCGTTTTTTTATCGAACGCTGTTATATGGCAGGCAGTGCCGAGACGACGATATTGTTATATTTTAAACCCATACAATGAAAATAATAATATAATAATATTGAATTATTTGAATACCGTATACTGTATAGTAATGTGGAGCCGGCTCCGTTTCATTTGATGGGACAACGGTTTTTTTCGCACAGAAACAAAAATATACGTCTGGACCGGATCCAACCCACGCGCGCCACAGCGATATAAACGAGCGCACAGTTTAAAATTGTATATTATTATTATTATTATACATGTAATAATTATTATAATCGTATCGTGTCCCGCGAGATAACGCCACACAGTGCCGTCCATACATAAGCGCTGTGTGGTGTAGAAGTAATAGAAAAACGCATTGATTAAGCTGAAGTAAAAAAATATATACAAAAAACGTTTTCACAGATCCTCGATTATGCAATGCACAGCGTCGGAAAGTACTGCTGCTCGACAACGCTTCGACATTTGTAAAATTGAAGTTGTTAAGTAATTTGGTTGTTAATAAAAACTTTTTTTTTTTGATTCTTTTAGCTGTTGTTTCGGGCAGTTAAAAGTTTCTCGCGGTTTTTCTTCGGGAACTCGAAACATGGTCTCAAATGTACGATGTTATAAGAATTATCGTAAGAATTGTATACTAAATACAAACTACATAAATTTGGATCGAACAAATACAAGATAAAAAATTTGATTTTAATGAGTGATTTGTGGGTATTTGTTTTCCGCCAAGTATA